TACGCCTCTGTCTGGACACAGCAGCCGCGCGGATTCACCCAGACACATCAGACAAGACAAATAGACCTCGCCTAACGCTGACAGAGCCCTCCCGGGTGGAAAATTTAGACAGACATTCAATCATTTACTTGACAAGTTGGGACATATTCAAGCGAGAAGATTTCTGTTTCCATAATTCCAAACCCCGTAATCCATTTGTGTCCCCCTGTCAAGGCTTGGCTGAGTGATTCCCTGGACCCAACAGAGAAAGCGCCATCTTCTTGGCGGCAAGCTCACACTATTAGGATTCCCCCCTCCCCCAAAAAAGAAATGAATCTCTAGATGAAATGTCTCCCATCATTTTTGAAAGAATTCAAATATCTTACTCCTCAGCTGCCAACAACTACATTACATTTACCGGCTCCTGACAAATACTGCTTGTGTGCCATTTGGCTCCTCGCAGGGCAGCGTACGGTGAAAAAGTGCTGCCTACTGCTGCTGAACAAACACTCTGGAAAGCCTGAATCAAAACAGCAAAACTGCAAGCTGGAAAACCAGAGAAATAAGCCGGGAGACATCACAAGGCTCTGTTGAGCAGAGGCATACAGCCGAGTCAGTTAATAACTCCCCTTTTAACGGCTTGCTTCAAAGCAGAAATACCGATTTTTAACTCTAAATATTTACGGCCATAAACTGTCAGTGAAAGAACGGATCAATTGAGAGCAGACGCACGAGCCGCCGTTTGCGAGGCCTCTGTAATTTTCCTTATTGTCGAAGAAAATAGATCGGAAGCAAAACGAGCAAAGAGGCAAACAAGAGTCAAAAATTCCCTTTCTTCTCAGCATGCTCTGTGATTTGAGTTTGTGGCTGAAACAATAATAAAACCCATGAAAGTCAGCTTTTCCCTGTTTGATGTTTACTGTTCCCAAGCCAAGTTGTGAATCTCCTTTCGGTTTAACATTTTTTTTTTTTTTTTTTTTTTTCATTTTTTCATGAAAAATGGAGAACATCCTTTCATATTGCTACCGTTTGGATAAATAAACTTGTTGTCAAAGGTAAGCCCTCGGCAACAAGATACTGAGTAGAGTTTTTTTTTAAATGCAGAGATTTTCACGCGGCGCCGCAGAGCAGCTCCTTTGCATCACAATCAGCCCGCCACATGTCTCTTTGCTCCATTAACATTAACAAGCTATTTAACCTCAGTGAGATGCTACTATAGGGCCTAAGAAGCCCACGGGTGATTTGAAGAAAAAAAAAAAAACTGAATAAGATACCACATGAAAAAAGACGGCAGTGTCATACAGTGAGTTAACCTTTATAATGAATGTGCTGCATGTGGCTTTAGCTGCACAGTGGAGCAGTTGTTTGCACTGTTTCCGGGCCGCGGCCGTTCTGCATGGAGCATGTGTTTTTTTTTTCTCTCTCTTTACATAAGTAGACTCTCTCCAGGTGATTTATACGTTACTGCTTTAAGTTCAACATAGCTTCTAGGAAACTGTAATTAGTAAACCAAGTCAATCTGTATGAAAATGGCAGAAAACGGAGGGCTACGTCTCCATGACGCTGGCTGTCTTGATAGTTGTCTTAGTGAGCAGCAGGAAAACAGAGATAGAAAAAATATCCAAAGCTCCTCGTCAGCAAAGAGCGGCATCTCAGGGTCACCGAGACTCCAAAATAACCATTAGATGGTATGTACATGTGCTTGATAGTGGTTGCGGTTGTCAAAAGCTATTAATGTCCAACCATCACATATGTAGACGCCAAGAGAGTTTGCTAAACTCCGCTGGGAATTTAAGTGCAACGTTGTACTTTGATCAAGCGAGACCGAGACCGAGCTTCTCCACAACAAGCACTCCGAGCGGCTTTAAAATAATAAAAGAAAAGCAAGAGTATCATTGTTGGAGGATGTGTGATGCTGTCGGCCTGCTTCTGCTCCAAACACCTCAGGAGGATTTTAAACAAAAAAAAAAAACAAAAAAACTGGTGGCCTCAACAGAAACCTGAAAATGGGTCATGCTTTAACTGTTGCTCAGTTACATCCCATTCTTAATTCACAAGGTTTAACACCGACTCCGTCACAACTTCAGCTCCTCTACAAAGGCTTTCCACAAGGTTTATGAGTGTGTTGTGTTGACCGCTATCCCACAAATCCAACGTCAAGGTCAGAAACTGATGTTGGACGAGTTTCTTACGTTTTTCAGAGTAAATCAAAGGTCAGGGATTATTTAATACTGCTTAATATTTAGTAGGGATGATGTTATACAAATGGACTTATTGCACAGGTGGAACCAAAAGTGTTTGTCACAACAGTTTGCGTGTTTAAGTGCTGGATTTTATTTACCTGTTGCCATGGTTGGAGTGCCAGGAACACCTGTATTTTGTGACTGGGAAGGTGGTGATGTTGTACTTCTGGCTGTACAATATCTGTTCAATTTCCGACTTCTCTTGCAAACATCAAGAACTAGAAAAGACCAAGATTCATCTTTCTCAATCTGAAAAGGGATAAAGAGAGACAAGCTCTGAACATAAATGTCTGGGAGAACTGATAAAAAATGCTGGACATCTAAATCAAGGTGTATGAAACACTTACAATTTCTTCACAATAACTGAAGAGCCACCTTTAACCTGCTTGGTGCAAATTACCTGCACCGTATTGACGTGTATGGTAAAAATAGATGGAATTACTTTATAAAGCACACACTCTCTCTCTCACACGGTATAAATTAAGAACAAATCAATGGAGCCTCGTGTCCCACTGTAGACAGAGCGGTGGGGCTCTGCAGTAAGTGAACATCTGATTACGGGAGACGAGGTAACGGCACACAGGCCACAGAGAGAACCCATCCAAACTCCACTTCTTTCTGTCGTCTCGGCGGCCATAAAAGGCAGCGTAATAGGATTCCAAAGCTTTTCCAGTGACTGCTTCCACTATCACACAGACATTTAAGTGCACTAATCCAAGACAAATTGTCTCATCTGATCCATGACAAGTCGTCCGAGGGGCCGACAGAGACGAGGTGGTGAGGGGAGGGCCTGCCTGGTGCCGGCGCCCAGAGAGTTGGGTCTGGCCCAAAGAGCGTGCTGCTCAGCACCTGGATCACCAGGTAGTGATGGGCGAGTCTTTAAAGGGAGCTGCTCTCATTACATTAAAGGGCACGCTGTGCGATAAAGTCAAGTCACAAAGCATTGACGAGGTGTAGATTAGAGGATTTCAGTTTCTTTGTAGGCAAACAGCTGGATTGGAAGTTGTTGGCCTTCATTTCCACGTACAGGAAGTGAAGGGTTCTAACTGAATTTGTTCTTTATGATATTCATCGTCTCATGGTTCTTTATAAGTGATTTTGCATGCTGAATTTTTTTAAATAAAAATTGTGACAAAAAAAAGGGGGGGATTTCGGTCATTCCAGCCTTGGACAGAAACAATTTCTTTGTGCCTAAGTGTAAATTTTCTTACACATGTAGATGAAGAACTATTTCCACACGAGCCCTCGTTCCACGCTTCCCTTCCGATCCACTCAACGAAAACGCCACGAAGGCGTCACTTGTTCAAGTAACTGCCGTTTAATTGAATTTTCTTTCACCATCAATTCTCACGCTAATTAGTCGCCGCGGTTTAATGAGAACGCAAATAAAGCTGATTTAATTGCAAAACAAAAAGAGAAGGGAGAGGCTGCGTGGATAAGACGTTCACGTGGGCAGAGACGGAGGGATGCGTCGCTCATTTCTCCTTAAAAACAAACAGGCAAAAAAAGAGAAGAAGAAAAAAAAAACCTCCTTCGCCTCAAAGAGGAAGGATTATTTCTTTGATGTTGGCTGGAAAGTAGAAAAGCATGTTCCTCACCTTGTTTCTGGTGCTTGCAGTCGTTTTGACAACTATGGAAATGAGTGGAAATGAGAGTGGGTGCATTTAGTTTCTAAGTGGGTGAAGGTAATTTCTTAGCTTTGCTGGCAGAAAATTGTCCATTTTCTGAACCAGCCATCTGGTTTGGCAGTAGAAAAAGTATATATATATATATATATCCAAATTTACCATGAATTATATCTTTTCTTAATCAAGTCAGCAGTTTGGGTACAACCCTCTTCATCTGCTTTGAATTTTTCACCTCTAGGAATCTTCTATTTGCTCTTTCTGTGACCATAAAAGATTGATGATGGTCTTAGAATCAGCATAACAGTGTTTTTATATATAAAAAACTAGAGTATGTCTTAATTCACCAGACGCATCCACGCTTGTGATCACACTGATGTTCAGCATTTTAACGTATGATGAATTTTGGCTCGTCAAAGTAATTACATGTTTTTTGTTGTTGTTGTTTTTCACCTCAAAGGCTTTCTAACACTTGGGGAGCATTATGGCACGTTGAACAATGAGTTCATTAAGATGCATTCCAATCATCTGGGATTAGACTTTGCAAGACATTTTAGATCAGCACACATGCCTTATACAGCATTTTCAGGCCATCTCTACTTTGTCTTCATGCACGAGCGATACTGTTGGGATCAGAAGTTTGCACACAATCATCATAATCACTCACTAATCCATGTATATTTGGTCTCTTAATGACGGATTTCAACTTCACTTTAATAAAAACTACAATCTCTCAGCGGTTTTTAAAAGCAGGAACTATGTATACAAAGTTGCAACATTATTATATGTTCCAGCTTAAACATTGAAATCCCCCCCCCTGACATCTGGTTAGCCATTTGACATCATCCTGTTTAAAGATTTAATTGTTCTACTCACTAGACACCGTAAACCTCTTTTGAATATGCACGGTTCAAAATCAATGATTGGTTTGTAGCTATTGTTCAAACGTTTACGGCAGCCTTGAGGACAGGGTCGTATCAGAAGCTTCAGGTTGGCCTTCTTTATCCGTTCAAAACCGGTTTTAATTTGTGTTCTGAATGGCTGCCCTGCTCCAACACAGTGAAAATTCATCCATCTGACAATTAATTCGAGGGGAACTTGAAAAATTCTCCGTCCTCATCTGCCCCACGTTGCGTATTGCTCCACCAACTGCTATATACACATAGATAGCAAATATATATATATTTGATGTAAAAGTCAAAGATTTAATTTTATTTTTTTTACATGTTTTTAGGGAGAATAACCATAAATATGTTTTAGGTGGGTTTGAACATACAATATATGAATTACGGACAGCACATCTTTTCTAGAAAGCCGTACATAAATATCTAAGCTCAGCTGTTTTCACGCATCGTTTCTGCAGATTTTTTATTTTTATTTTATTTTATCAAACTAATTAAATGTCAGCCTCAGTGGCATTCAGTCAGATCTGTGTAATTCGTTTCAAGAGAAACTCTGAGTTATCGTCAATGCCACCGAGGCGCTGCCGCTGGCAGAGACGGTAGTGATTGGATATTAAAATTCAAAACCAGCTGAGATTTTACTGCAAAACCTGAACTTAGTCTTTGGTTGTTGTTGTTGTTGTTGTTGTTGTTGTTGCTATCAGGCTGCACAGCTGGAAGTTTAACGACACCAAAATGAAAAGTGTGTTGTTTCCATCTACCAGCGCTGTTATATATCGGGCAGTATGTTGTTATATTTACCACTCGCAACATTTTTCAACTTTCTGTTGTCATTGAAGAAGCATACAGCGCATTTCACACATTAGAGAAATACCAAAGCTGATGAAAAAAAGAGAAAAAGTGCATTCATACTGAATGAAATAAAAAAAAATACAATTTTGTTCGGACAGAACAAAGATATGCATCTGTTTATTTGGTGTAGGCAAACCTCTGGTTTCAATTGCATGTGTTAGGGATGGTCAATATATTGGCACTAACATCTTGGTATCGACTGACATAACTCATTTATTGATATATCAGCATTTGGTCACATGACTGATGGTGATGCAACGTAGGATTGTGGGAGTTTAAGTCAGCAATATATAATATACAATATCGGTAAATATTGGTTATCGACCATTACAGCAATATTAACATAGAATATTGATATCGGCCCAAATGTTCATATTGATGCATTCCTAGTATACACAGTACATATTTAATGTGATTTTAATAAGCAACTTATTAAAATCACATTTGGGAGCAATTTAATTTCATCTGATGTCAAAACTGCATTCATTTCTTCCACTAAGCTACAAACTGTATATGCTAATCGTGCTCCCTGTGGCCCCCGACTTTTAACAAAGTGCAGTATGAGCAGTCAATAAGGGTCTTTGTGCATCAGCAGGGCTGGTGGTGAGCCCTGCAGCTCAGCGCTGGCAGGTGGGGAGAGTGCAGTGCCTGGCTTGTTTATGTCATGTCACATTCAGCTCATCTGTCAATGTAGTGGATTATTTCTTGAGAGACCAGAATTGGCTGCCCGGAATCAGGACGCCATCAATCTTCAGCCGCACAAGCAGAACACGGGGGGGGTGGAGGGCTTTTTGTGATGCAGAGGCTCATGGGAACGAGAGAACAGCGCCACGTAGTAAAGCAGGTGACGAAGCAGACATCCTACTTGTTACTCGATCTTCTGACTTGACTTTGTGAATTTGTCACAAGACACGTTGAAACTTTGCAGCTCGTGTTTTTTTTTTTTTTTTTTTTTTTTTTTTCCCCAAAGTTTCCGGAGGCGGATCGGATGATTTCTCAAATGCCGTTAGATGGTCTAACAGAAACAACAGAACAGCCGACGCTACCTCCGCTTTGAAAGCCTCGCAGCTGCTTCTATTAGTCGATATCCACTGGATGTTTGTTTTTGTGTAACTTTATCTTTCAAACGGCCTGCTGAGGGACATTTAGAGTTTTAGAAATAATGATTTCCTGGAAGTTGCAATGTCAGCCCAACAACAAGATAACCGAACAGAAACCAACACAGTGGCACAGGAAGAGGCTCGGCATGGCTTCATTTAATATTTCATCATTGCTCAGTTTTTAAGGTGATAAATGCATGATTTTAGCTAATGGATGCTGCATATAACTATGATTAAGCACTTAAAAATTCACACTATGCTACGAACTATTATTGAAACGTACTCAAAGCATAACAAAAAAAAAAAAGCTCGAAAGTTGATGGATTTTTCAAGGCATCCTCTTTTTTTTTCTTTTTTTTTATCTCCGATGTACTCCGCCCTATTTATAGCCTGGCTCTTTGGGCTCGGTGAAACCAGAGAGCTTCTCAAATTATAAAATCAATTCTAATTCAAATATTTATCATAGCATTTCAATTCGAGGAGAGAGTTTCTGGTTAGATCAGGTAGCAGCACTTTATGACTGAGCAGGACGGATGTCGGCTTCACTCTCATGGAAAATCGTCAGTAAACTGAACAAAGGAGAACGACGGTGGTTTGGTAAGAGTCTCCAGCTTCGATGGGATTCAAAGTTCAGTGGCATATCCATAAGATTTCCATTAAAACATCAGTTATTCATGTTTTTACAGGTCTTGATCAGCAATGGGTGTGGTTATAGAAATGTTTGGAGGAGCTGAGTGGAACTTGATGGTTTTACATTGGATTGCCTTCTCCACTTACTGGCTAGCTGGAATATCCACGACTGATCATTATCTGATGAAAGAAGGCGCCTTGTGTAAGCTCTGCCAGATCACGGTGATTGCAACACTCTTCAGTGCAGACGCAAGTATTGAGTGAAGGTGAGTCAAAGCTAGCTTTTTCCACTTTCAATGATTTCAGTGTCTAATGTCGGAAGAAGCACACAGTTGAAAGCAAGCATTTAAAAAAACAAGAAAACAGCAATTTGCTGGCAGCTTTTTGGAAATCTCAGATTGAATGTAAAGATCTACATCTGGCACAAACACAGATAGCTGTTTTTATAGGGCTAATCTCTAATATAAGATGCTAAAGATAGTTTAAAACATCGGCTATCTGGTCAATCTGTATTTTTGTTGAAATATTTTGAGCCTAAAATCAGAAGTTGTCTGCCACAGGACAATAATTCATATCTGGATTGCAACATTTTACCAGTTTGCTAAAAGTCAAGTTGACTTGGAGCCAAATTCAACAGGACACAGAAAGGTTGGATGAATTTACACTGAACTTCCTGTGTTGGATTTGGAAACATTGATTGCTTTCGGAAAGATCTCAGAGTTATCCTACATTTAGAGATCCTGGAATCAGCAACCTTTTCAATTCATGGAGGCGTTGGTATCGTCACATGGACCGAGAACAATTTGTCCACACCCGCAAGACATAAATGACTCTTTGAATAACTTAATTTTTTGTATCATGAGGAGTAAGCTCATAAAAACTGTTTATTAGGCCTGAGCAGCTAAGCGCTGCGAAGGCCTATTGTAATCGCGCTTTTTTTTTTTTTTTTTTTTTTTTTTTTAAATTTTTTTAGAAAAAAAAAAAAAAAGCTTTTACCAAAGAGTTACATTGAAATCTTAACAAAAAAAATTGCAATATTTGGGAAAAGAAACAAAAGTGGCAGCACTAACTACACAAAGGATGAAAAAGTACTCCTTATGACATTGGCATGAATCTATTGTGGAAATTATGTTCATATACATTACAAAAAAACCCAAAAAGAAACATAAAACTATCCTATTTCTAAATCACTGACGGCCAAAATCATCAAGAGCCTCTGTGGAGGGTATCAAGAGCCACACACACACACACACACACACACACACACGCACACGCACGCACACACACACACACACACACACACACACGCCGACATGAACATCCACAGTACATGTTTATGTCATCACTCATGTTTCTGCATAAGTACAGCAATAATGAAACACTCATCATTATTTGCTCTTCATATAAAACCCTGTTGTTTTATAGAACAAGATATTCATGACATTTCATGAAAAACAATTACATTTTTCCCCAAATCACATTGACAACCTGTGGCAAGAGACCAATGTGTGTTTTTGTTTTTACCCCAGTCTGTCCCCGATACTCGACGGTAAATGCTGTAACTAGCTTTTGAACATATTATGAAGAGCGGCTGCAGAGAATGTAAAATAAATAAACCTGTCTAATATGGAAGAAAGAAAATCAGGCCACCCCAGTTTACACAATGCACCTAGCTTCCATTCTATCCTCATTTCCTAGGCACACAACAGCGAGATGTATGTGCGAAAGCAGAGTACGAGGCAATTAAAGTGACATTTTACCTTTTCATCATCTCACTGGGTTATTTTTTTTATGTAAATATGAAACATGAAGTCAGTAACTTTGGTAATAACGCCTGGGGGCCCCCGTGAGCTTTCCAGGAGCCCCAATAGGGGGTGCTGACTCCCCAGGTTGAGATGCACAGAGACTGATGCTAACAGCTACCTGCGCTAACCGTGCGAACAGCAATACAAGATGCAAAAGACTTCAGAGTCCAACTCTGTGTTTATTTTGTATTTGTTGTGAAGCAGTAAAATCCTCAGCTGAAGCGATTCGCCTCTTACACACATGACAGGACAGGCGGCACCTCGTCAAATAATAATATAAATATTAAATGACCGCTAATGGCAGGAAGAGCAGGAAGTCGCTGCTGAACGCTCTTGTTGTATCCTCTCATCTGAAAAAGAAATCATCCCCAAAATTCTGCTCGGCGCATCTCTACTTGATGCCCAACCGCACCAGGAGAGCTCATCACGTGAACCCATTAGGTCATCAATAACGGCTCGCGAATCCTCAGAGGACCCGTGAAAATGCCACCCCGTAATGGCCTCAGCGAGAAGAGAGCATGTAAGTGTGCGAGCGTGTATACGTCTTTGCCCAGGAGTGCAATGGACGTCGAGTGCGTGAGTTGATCTGTCTGACAGTAAACCTTCCTGAACTGTCGGCCCCAGGTGTCTTTTACTTGCATGACTTTTCTAGGCGTAAAACCACAAGAGGTGGAAAGGAGATGGAGGGGGGAGCAAGTTTGTTCTTCCTTTTTTTTTTTTTTTTTTTCTTGTCCTCCTCCCCTTTGGGTCAACTGCATTATTCAAAAACAACACTTACTGAGCCTTGCACTTCCTTGTAGATCTTTGGCACCAAGCTTGACTTGCCAGCCGGACAAAAAAGAAGAAAATATAAAAAATAAAATGGAAGTCACCCTTTAAAAATTTATTCAAAACTCTGTGCTGCTCATCCCTATCCCCCCTTCTTTTTTTCTTTTTTTTTCGCTTCAATTAATGGGGGCAGGAATACTTTGAGAACTTTTTTTTTTTTTTTTTTATCTATCAGAGCGAGGATTTTCATGTGTCAGCTGTTCCGCAGCAAAAGTAAGCCAATTCTCTGACAGGCTGCTTAAAGTCACCAATGTTCACAAGCATAGAGAATTCAGAGCAGTGTTTTTTTTTTCCTTCTTCCTATTGCTCTGCTTCAATTACCGCTTCTTTTATTTTTTTATTTTTTTACTTGGCAGTGTAAGACACAGAAAGAGGGAACTAAGCAGGAGACGGCATCAATGTTTAACAGCAGCTTGGCATGGAAAGGAAGCCCCACTCTGCATGAGGGTTCAAGCGTGGAAGTAACACTCATTGTTAGGAGCTTAAGGAAAGCATTTGCTTTGCTCTAAAAAAAAAAAAAAAAAAAAAAAACCTTTGCCTTCCTTGTAGCACTCCCACATATACCATATGCAATTCTAGTAAGCTTTTCCATAATCAGAGAATTAGATCCGCCTCCATTTCTACCCTCCCCTTTAGCCCTCGCGGTGCAGAAGGCGTCAGGCTTAATTGCCGAGCATTTCCAGTGCAAAAGGAGGAAAACATAATTGTCATTTCAGTCTAAGCCATAGTGATCAAAGCTCCCCCAGCTACCAGCGTGGTAATATGGATTCTTGCCCATAGCTTTAGCTGCTCCTATTAGTCTGCCAGTGAGATTCAGGGTGCACTAGTCGAGGATTCCTCGCCACATAAGTGAGTCATCCTCCCCCCCGATTCCCAATCTGAGAAGATGTTCTAGCAGCGCTCGCATGTTAAGATCCAAACGGTGGCAGACGGCTCGGCGAACGAACCCAACCTTGCTAACTGTGTTTTCTCCCAACTGCAAAAGTCACGTAACATTGGAACCGAAGGCACAATTAGCAGTCCCCAACCTCTGCTTATTCGCTAGAGCTTCAAGCGCCATGAATCATTTCGTCGCGCTGACACGGCGAGTCACTCTGACACACTGCAGCGGGCCTTGTTCTCGTCTTTCAAACAGCCAGAGCCGAGAGGAGCTAACCTAGCGAGGGCAACATCCTGCATGTCGTTGACACCGAGCTGTGAAGTTAGTAAGACAAAGAAATAAAAGAAGAAAAAAGAAGAGCTCGTTTACGAACCCAGAGTGAGGATGTCGGTGCGACCGGGTCGGGCCACATGGTGCTGCTGGATGGTCTGGTAGAGTGTGGCCTGGCACAGCAGCAGGAAGCCGAGGCTAATCCACATGGCCAACAACCAGGACATGGTAAGGCCGAGTCTGGAGAGCAGCATGAAGGAACACGACTCTGTTAGACAAGCATGTGTATTTACTGCAGATATCATCTTTACTCAGTACGGAAACACAAAGCAGAGAAACAGATGTAAACGTACCCATGTATTTAAGAAAGTGATTTACACAATTATATGTGCAATGATATGTAAAGAACAACAAAAACATGATTTTGCATCCATAAATTATATTATAAGATGAAACAATCAGGATTTTCTTGGCCAATACCGATTTCCGATGTTCTCTGAGGTTTATGATGCCAATTATGACGATTTGACCAAGTCAGGCTTTTTATTTTTTATAAGAACCATAAAGCATAAAAGTGGAAGCGTGTTGCCATATTCTCTGATGGAGGTAGTCGTGTTGAATCCGACATAAACAAGGCAATTCTGAACTTATGGATCAAGTCACGTTCTTGACCTTTATTGGATTTGTATTAAACTCAAAAGGAAAAAATAAATAAAAATCTGATCCATTTATTGGATCAGATTTTTTTGATTAATCAGATCACTGATTAATCAAAGGGAAACTAACTGATCTGATGGATCAGTGCTTCTCTATATGAAATGGCTAATTGGGGACCATTTTGATATCTATATAAAACTTTGTTAGACTGCGCTGAACATAGATTTAAAATAGCAGACCCAAATTCAGCTATCAATCAACACCGACTGTGTATTTGTACCATTTTATTCATTTCTACAAAAACAAAAAGTTTAAAAAGGATCATACAATAAAAAAAACAACTATATGCACAGGATATCTCACATTCAAGAAAAATGTGATCTCAGTCATAGTTCTGCCATCTGTGTTTATAAATTGAAGCTTAAATTAATCATTGCTAATCACAGACAGCACTCTTGATCATATTAAGAGATTTATCTTCTGCTGCTGAGGGGCGGCATATGTAGAGACGCCTTTTTCCTGCCTGAATAATGAGATTCCCCTCCTTTCCAGGTGGTGTTGGCTCTCATTTCCATCCAGAAATCTGAAGTGGGGAAGTTGTTGTTGCCATAACTCCGCCTTCTGCAAAGCAATATTTTTCCACCAATCTGCAAAGGTTTTTTTTCCCCCCAAACTAATCAGGGAGCATGTGATTATTTTAAAAGCACTAATACCGTGTTTGTTTTATAGGCACGCACCAAAGCTTTTAACCAAGCCTGCTACAAGGTAGTGATTCTATGATCTAAGCACTTTAATGCGATTCCGAATTCATAATTAATACTAAATGCAAGTGCATTAAAATAAAGCATGTAGCCATTAGCCGTTTAACTTTGAAAGTAAGTAAAATGAGAGCAGATATTTGATTCAATGCATTATTTAAAGACGGATATCTTGAGTTTTTCATACTATGATATGCAGCTGAGGTCGAATGCATTAGGCTAATCAAGAATTACCCTTTGTGAGATTAAGGCTGCTTAATAAACAAAGAAAAATGAGCGTGTAAACCCTTAATATCATTATGAATCGCCAGCAGCAGGGGGTTTTAGAACGAGCATGACTCCTCTTTTACTTTTCTCCAACCACACATGTTGTTCTCATCGAGTCAAAAGGTTTACGAGGCGTATTGTTGGGGGCAAAAAAAAAAAAAAAAGAATCGCTGTGCTTGCACAGTTAATTGTATCGGCTACATATTACATGCAGCCGCAGATCTACAGTAATCTGGGGAGGCTTTTATAGGAAGGGGGGGGGGGGGGGGGGGCGTAGTTGATAACTGCAGCTTATCTCCTGAGCTGAACGCGGAGCAGAGTTGAAGTAAAAAACACACAAAAAAGAACAGGGGATTATTTACAAGGTCTTTCAATGCAAACAAAAGAGGCAGTGTTCAGAAGCATGCAGCCCACGCTTTCTGTAGATGCAGACCGCTTAAAGGAGCTCACTCTCACTTTTGTGCTGCAACCTCAAATGAGACACTCTGAAATGCAGGAGTCCAGATCAGAAGGGGTGGGGGGCAGGGAGGAGAAAGCAAAAGCGGACGGAGGGTGAGGGTGGAAACATGAGGCGCACCTGCAGGCACCGATGCACCTGCTCTGACATCTCTAAAGAAACAGGAGAGGTTCTCACTCCAACAGACTGCAGACCCAACTTCAGCTATCAAACCAACACCGATTGTTCCCAAACCAGAGAAAATCAGCCAGAATGTAGATGGTTTCTAATCAATAGTACTTCTCATCCAGAAGGCATCGTCTGCCACTGGAAAGTGTCTGAATACAGAAGACGTCGCAAAGCCATTTCGTATCTTCAACCCAGATAGTTTTTATTTTTGCCCCCAATCAGACATTCTTCTACATCAAACTCCTGTCCTCTGACACCAGAGGAATGTCCCACACCCTTCCTTACCTGAGCGGCGTGTTCAGATAGAGAAAAAGAGCTTAGTCAGAATCACAGCCTGTCCATCTTAATTCCATCGTCTCTTCATGAATTCCACCTGCAGGTAAGCCCCACAAAAAGGAACAAAAAAAAAAATCACTCTGGACTTCTGCTGCTGAGATTTTTCTTTTTTCGAAAAAAACAACAAAAAAAAAACACAAAAAAACAACACGAGTCCCCAAAAAACGCCACCCAGGTGGGAGGACAATAGGTGTCACAAACTGACCAAGGTGTGTGAGAGAGTCACGGCTCTATCGGCCACACAGGTGCTGCTCTTCTCTCTTTCAGAGTCTTTCGAAACTCCTCTGCTGAGATGAAAGGGGATCCTAATTTGCCCCCATCCACCGCCTGCCCTCGCTCGTCGTTGCCCCCCCTCTCCCTCTCTCTCTCACAAACTCGGCGGAAGGCTCCGGTGGAATGACCGCTCTGTCTGCTTTTGGCCACGTCCCCCCATTGAGAAGCTGAGCTGATAGTGTGAGCCTCAGTCCTGCCTCCGACGCTGTAAGTAGAGCGTCTGTGTCGGGCGGGCAGGCAGAGCAGAGCGAGTGTGAGTGAGCGTGCATGCGTGTGTGTTACACTGTAGCCCAGCTGGAAAGAGAGAGAGAGAGAGACAGAGAGAGAGAGAGAAAAAAAAAGGGGGGAGTAGGATCACACGTCTTAAAGCAAGACTACCCGCTCCTGCATCATACTCCATCAGCAAATGAAGCATGTTTTATTAACTGAAGCCTCTTTACATGTCAACCTGTCAACCATAACATCTAAAGCGAGAAATGCTTCAAGCTGTCTGATGCAGCCGCGTCTGGAGAGGATGGAGATGCCTGTCTTTCAGTTTCATCTCACAAAGCTTGAGCAGTCTCATGACCATGTGTTTTTCTTTGCCTCTTTTGTTGCCACCCAGCCTGAGATGATGTTGTTTTTTGTTTTTTTTTTCACCCTCAGGACAACCTCACACCCAAAGCTTCTAAAGAGCTTTCGAGCACCCTCGTGTCACTGAATCTGCTGGCTCTTAGCATGAAGGGCAAGGCTTCTTCTGGTGGCGTGTGGGTGAGTTTGCATTGGCGCAAGCAGGACGAGTAGCCCAGGCTTCTCCCTTGTTTTCCCTCCTAACATATCACCTTCTGTGTGGTGGTACTTACATTTAACCGTATCAGTCTCAAACATCTGCCATACCTGGACTCGATCACAGAGTGACATTTAGGATAAAACGAGCCACTTAAAGTGTCACAGAAACAAGAGATGGGGTAAAAGCCGCAGACGTTTTTGGGTGGAGTTCAACTCCTTAACGAGGTCTGATCGCAGAGCTGATTAGATGAGGTATTGCATACAGCATCATGTGAGAGCTGTGCTATAAAACTGCCAGCCTCTCCCCATCGGTTGTCATCCTCCACTTATCTACTAGGAAGCAGCTTTGACATGGTTAACAAGCCCTTCAACTGTTGGTCACTGTGCCATAACATAAGGCATCCTGGGCCATCTCTGTTGCTGCTGCCATCTCTTCGGCTTGTTCTTTACTCACCACTGAGTAATTTGACAGCCAGATGCACACATCCCTGCAAGAGCTCCAGTGTGCAGGGCGGACAAGAAGAGAAAGTGTAGAAGATAAAAAAAGAAAGAATCCTAACATTAAGATTTTGGACTGTGGGAGGAAGCCAGAGGACCCGGTGAGAACCCACTAGTGTGCAGGGAGAACATGCGAACTTCATACAAGAAAGAATGAAGTTCAATCCAGGATTTGAGCCCAGGACCTTCTGCCAAACAACAGTGACAAAAATGATACAAGGATTTTTTACTTTTTTTTTTTTTTGCAAATTCAAGTATGTAAAAAAAGAGTGGTGTGACAGCATCAATGGAAAATAGATTAATATAGAATGTACAAACATGAATGCATGATACCTGAACTATAGTGTCCTTCCCAATATTGCCTCTGAATCATTTGTCGATATTGTACACACTGACATTACGATGACGATTGTGATTCGTATCATGCAGCTCTGGAGAGCATCAGTCAGAGAGGAAGCCAAGAAGTTCACGGTAACTCTGGGGGAGCTGCAGAGATTCACAGCTCAGGTCGGAAAATCTGTTGATTTATTAGTCATACATGTCACAACTCTCGTCAAATCTAATCAAAGTGGGGGCAGCATCAGAATGTGGGGATACAGAAGCTGCTGGGAAGATGGACGTGGCTTAGTACAGGGCATGATTGCAAGAGACTTGAGACCAAGACAGAGGTTTAAATGCTAAACATACAGTCAGAAAAAAACAACCGAATGATTAAAATCAAATCATAATCATGTGCTGTTCTCCAAATTCAGACCTAATCAAAACAGAAAATTTGTGGCAACACATTGGAAAAATTTTTCCCCCCAACCCTTCCTAACCCATTTGACTTGTTCAAACACCCCCCCCCCCCCCCAAATACCTGCAGATCTGATTGCTGTAAAACAGTCATAGTTTTAGGTGAGGTAAGAGTAAGGTCATTTTATTTATATTGCACAGTTTCAGCAGAGGCATTTCAAAGTGCTTAGGTTTTAACTTGATGGGCACATGCCATACATTTCAGATCTTTACTCGCAAGAAATGTTTAAAACCATTTATGGATTTTCTTTCCACATACCCAGTGATGCTGTCTTTTGTGTTGGTCTCACATAACGACTCTAATAACACATTTATGCAAAAAAACAAAAAACAAAACAAAAAAAAACAGGTAACATGAATACTGTGGCAGGGGGAAAAGCTTTGTTTGCTGGTGTATTTTGTGGTAAGTGATGATGTGTTGTTGTTTTTTTTGTTTTGGACCCTGCTTCTTGTATTTACATAGATTTGTAGTAATCTAGTGGCAAAGTGAAGTGAATGAATAGCAAAACCGCCATCTGGATCCCCATTGGGTATAAAGCTCAGCATGTTAAGAGAGAGATTTACACTAAGCACAAACTGCAGGGTAATTATCACTCTGATTGGTGTTTCCACACTGTCAAGACCGACTTGCGCAACCGGAGTTGATTACCAATAAATACGATCATTACATTTTTGTCCAAATTGTCTTGTTTTTTTTTGTTGTTGTTCTTGTTTTATTTTTTTTAATTGGAGGCATTAATAACCTGAACGCTTCATTTTGCACGTCTTGGTGACGTGTCCCGCTGGAATAAGATGAAAGCGTGAAATGAAACAAGCCCCAAAACAATCCCCAGGGGCAAACTTAGAATCGCAGGCGCCAGATTATTACGTTTGTGTTGCGTCGCGATCATTTAGACATTTAAAGCCATTTCATCTTCCTGCCGGCCGATTCGTTCCAGTCTCCTGATTTTCATTCTGCATCATTCGGCGCTGCGTTGGGAAAATGGACAGGGACAACAGAATTTCACAGTAATTCTGGATTGTTGTTGCGCTCTCCCTTCTCAGGGGTTTTCATCATTTCCAAGCAGCTGTCGCCGCCGCCCATGCCAAGACCTAACTACAGCCGACCAATCACCGGCCAGTTCTGGGCTTGGATCTGAGCAGCCCTGTTAAACAGCGCTGTTTGCCAGTGCTGCTTTTTCACTTCCCATCTTTTTTTGTCTCATTCTGTCATTTCTTCTTTTTTTTTGATATTTTTGTCATCTATTCTTCCTGCTGGCTAATAAAATTCTCCCTTCCAGTGCCGCCTGTCCCAACTGTGTCCCAAAATACCAACTTAATCCTCCTCTCCTCCTCACCCCCTGGGCTTGTCTGCTTTGCTTAACATTTTTAACTAGAACAAACAAAGGGTTTCTTCATTTGACAAAGCCTATTCTCCAGAGTTATACTGAAATGTAGCACAGATGCAGAACGAGAGGAAGAGGCAAAAAAGAAAAGGAGAGGAGGATGGGCGAGCAGAGGAGTCATTTGGATGAGGTAAGTAGCAGGGATCTTGCACACCGGTGGATGGTGAATACATTAAGCCGTTTAACTAAATGAAATAATTTGAGATGTGATCAACATTTGTTGAACTTTTCAGCTTGTCGTCTTCAGATCGTGCCATTCACTATGCCCTTAATGATTGAGTCAAAAGGTTACAAGTGAATATCTTGAGAAACACTTCTAAAAACTATGGAATGGCGAATAAAAATGAAAAACGGAGTAGAAGTTGTATTTGTTGCTTTCATTGGGATGGTTACTGAAGGGAGATTGTCACTGAAACCATTCATGCTTGCAATGAACCAACTCTGTGGTTCAGCCATGTTCTGTTTATGCTCTGTAGCAAAGAAAGGTACATCACTGAGCCGGATGAAGAACATTTCTGACTGGATATCACATTTTAGAACCCAATAAATACCGTTGAACCAAAGTAGCTGCAGTTTATTTAACAAGCCAAAACCCCCCCTCAATTTCTGACGTTAAATCAGACTGAGCTTTTTTTTATAATTGGATAACAAGGTTCTTTTTTCCATGATGACCACTGCAAAGCACTGACTGTCGTCTTCAACCTTCTTTGTAAATAGTTTGACTCGATGCTCAGTTATTGTCCATTTGATGGACCCGTTTTTTCCAAGCTTGAGCTGTTTGGTTAACGTCTTGAGATATTTGCAGATTCCTCCGTTTTCGTCCAAATGTATCACGTGGTCTTTGTGACCACATACCTACGTTTTAGTTTCATCAGACAAAAAAAAAGGTCTTTGTCACCAATTGCATTTGCAAACTGTAATTTAGCTTTTTTGTATGTTGATTGTGGAACATTGGATACTTCCTCTCTGAATGGCTTTTCAGCCCACATCAGCACTGGGCCTGTTTTATGACTCTATGTAATAGTGCTTAAAAAAAATTGTTTGAACTGATGAATGTGGCAACTTCAGACAGAAAGTGTGCTAAGAGTTGTTGCCCTTAAATACATCTGCAGTTGTTCATTTACTGAAATGAAAAGTTGTGAATTAGTTTACGAAGCCACAACAATTTTCTTCAAACATTTAACTTTGAAGAAAAGCAATCTGCAAACATCCACCTTTTCAATATTCTGCTATTTATTAGACATATTTTCAGTATTCCCAACTGACATACACATGATTTAATGTTGTATCATGCAGATTGCCATACTTTTGATTTTTGAGTACATTCAGACCAGATCCAAGGACAGTGTTGGATCTCTTTTCCTTGTTGAAGGTGTCTGTGTGCTGGCCATTGGGCAATCTGTCCAGAGTGCACCAGGCCTCTTGCCCATTGGCTGCAGGGACAGGCTTAGACTCAAAATAGTCCTTAAAAAGTGTTCAGCTTTCAAGGAAAGTCAAGTTATTTGAAGTTATATTAAACATTTCTGCTGAATTTGGTTTGTGGGGCGACTGTGGCTGTGTGGGTTGAGTACGCTTGCGATCGGAAAGTTGTAGGTTCGATTCCAGCTTCCTCCTACCATGTGCCCTTGGGCAAGGCACTTAACCCCAAATTGCCTACCGATCTGTGTATCGGTGTATAAATGTGTAAGTGTTTGAGAGTGCGAATGGGTGAATGTGACTCTAGTGTAAAGCGCTTTGAGTGGTCAAAAATGATTGGATAATTCAGTCCATTTACCATTTTTAGAAATCAAAATTGACATCAGGGAATGACGTCCTGCTTGAATGTAGCTTATTCTAGTTGCCAGTCAGAAAATCAGAGAGATTTAGTTCTTGTTGCGATGGTAACTAACATTATTACTTCATACTAAAAACAACACATTTCTTTATATTCTGTAGATTCAACAGTAAAGGAAGATGTTCACAGACAGGTGTGGTCCAGTACTGTGTCATATCTATGAGACACAAACCATCAGAAGTGTGTAAATGTTTTATTCCCACAACTTTGCTGAGCTAAATCTGAATCATCAAAAGTTGGACCAACGACTTTTCTTCAGGCATTTGACACTAAAGTGTTTGGTCAGATTTTTTCCCATCACCTTTGTGTTCCTTTTCTAATATCTACGCATTCAGTCATTTTGGCCTTAGATTTTTTGTCATTGTTGTCCTCAGTAATCCCTCACCTGTTCTATGGGATATATATATATTTTTTTAATCAGTCTGCTGCTCACCCCGTTACGTGCCTTCCTATTGATTCTTCCAGCGTTGTTATGCTTGCCTCTTTTCCTGTTCCTGTGCTACCTTTGTTTGAACTTTATTTTGCTTCAGACGTTTGGTTTCAGTTCTGTTTTATTTATTAAGCACATTCCTCTTGCTTCCTGCTTGTCTGCTTCCTGGGCATTTGGGTCCCCAACATGTCCTCCTCATAAGTCCTAAACTCTGAACTTTTAAAGTCTACGTATTCAGCTAAAATCTAAGCCACCTAATCAACCCAGTGTGCCTTACCTGTGTTTGTTCAGTTTCCATATTTAGATGTTGTTCGCTTTCACTGCCTATATGATACTCTGATACTTTTCTTAACTATTATGATATGTCATTGCCTCCATTATTTAATCAACTGATGGCAAAGACACAACTTTTAATCAGATCGTTTCTGATTCTCTGAGACTCTAAGTGAACATATTCTAACCTTTGCCTTGTTTCAGTTTTGATGTTGGTGTCTGCCTTACTAGAACTTTTCTTTGGTAACTTCTTCTTTAGAAGACCGAGAACAAACAAAAAAACCCATTAATGAATGAAATACTTAAAGAAAATCTAAACTATTTGTATGTTTTAAAACAAAAGGTAAATCTTGAATCTTTTGTATTACTTCTCATTCCAGAAACTGTTGCGATAATTTTGGATTTTTTTTTTTTTGTTTGTTTGTTTCTTCACTTAAATATACTTTGTTTCTAAAATTCTTTAAACGTTATAGATTGTATTATTGTATTTTAACTTGATATACTTTTCATTTTATTTGATATATATTTTTTACAGCTGGTCAATTTTGTTTTGATCATATATATATATATATATATATATATATATATATATATATATATATATAGAGAGAGAGAGAGAGAGAGAGAGAGAGAGAGAGAGAGAGAGAGAGAGAAATGTGGTATTGAACTCCATCGTAGTCCTCTTCGTCCAAATGTCTTGGGAGTGTTAACAGCCCCATATTCAGTCATGAACTCTGGACAGCAGAGGAAATAAGTTACAAGATTTTAGTGTTTGGAGTGGGTCAGAAATTCGGTGCCGGTGATGCACTGGGACCTGACAGGTCTCAGCAGGTGACATTTTGTGTCTCGGGTGAGTTCGAGATGGAGGAGTAATTGAGCAATAGATGGCTCGGCTACTGGAGACGATGGTAGCCATGAAAATGTTCCCGCACAGACCAATAAAAATGTCCTCTACTTCTTGCTGTAATTGGACCAGGGACAGTGGGGGTTGGTCTGTAGCCTGAGGAGACCACCTTTATAAATGCTTTGTTCAATACACTCCTATTAGACTGATGAGACATGGGACTCAGTGGAAGAAAGACATGTCTCAAAAGAACAAGAGTAATGCTGATGAGAAGAAGAAAGAAAGAAAAAGAAAGAAAGAAAGAAAGAAAGAAAGAAAGAAAGAAAGAAAGAAAGAAAGAAAGAAAGAAAGAAAGAAAGAAAGAAAGAGAAAAAAAGCTGTTGCCAGACTGGAAAGGCAGCAACATGTAATCACTGAACTCTTCCAGAAACTGACTGTGTCTCCTGCTCACAAAGGTCAGAGTGCACTCAGAAAAATAACAGGGGATTTTTAATAGGCAACCCAGTGTTACCTACAATCTAATGAGAAAGAAAATTACAGCATATGCAGATTTGCGGTTGTTCTTTGTGCATCACATTGATGTTCGTACCAAAAAAAGACATGAATACACAAATTCCCACTACGGGAGTTTATATGCTAAAAAAAATAAACATGTTAAAATGTTCAACACCTTAAAATCTTCGTCAGTAATTTATTGAAATAAAAAAATTAAGTGTGAACTGAAATTCTTCCGTTTTTTGACGCATGCGACCAATAGAAGCCACAACAGGCCAAACCTTCAAAGCCTTTTGTAATATTTAAGCTTGTATTGTGGTAACTATATTAACTTATGTACTCCAGGTTGGTCATGATGATTCAGGATGCTGCATCTGCTTGTTGCACCAATTAAAAAAAAAAAAAAAAAAAAAATTAATTATGTCCACAGGTAGCTCCATTTCAATAATTATTCTTCACAGTTCTTCCTGACACTGTGGTTTTGATATAAGCTAAATGCTGCACCATGCATTTGCTTCTCCTCTGTTCAATTGAGACACAGTTTCTGTCTGTTTTTCTACCATTTTTTTCTCAGTCACATTTCATGCTAAAAAGCACAGCTGTTACTCTGACCCTCCTCCTCACACCATGCAGGTTTCTAATCTATACTCCCAATATGGTCAAAACACTCTAAAGACAACAATAATAAACTAATCAATCAGATGTTATGGTCAGCTAACATTGAATAGTTTCAGCAGCAATTTTAGTAGAATGATTTCTCAACTCTCTGTAGCTGTCGAGCTTCACATTCAGAAGAAACAGCTAGTTTACTGCTGCTGTTGATAGGTTTGTTGTCGCCTGACCAGCGACAAAATGCCTGTGGCTCAAGTCCTCCGTGACAAAGATGAGACGAATGAGAACTGGTTGAAAGACATGCATACCGTGGCTCTCACGCTAAACAAAACATGGTATGGTATTTAATATGAGCTGCAGCTTTGTTTCTTTTTTAGGTTAATTGTAGCAAAATTGGACTAAAAAGGAGCTCGTGTCCCTGCCGTTTGATGGTTTGGACTTTTTTCTTTTTTTTTTTTTTTTTTGCCACTTCTGTGCTTACAGTAATCATTTTTGAAATTTCTTTTTCTGTTTTCCTGTTTCTGTTCTAGGTGCTGTGGAGGACAAAACATAAAAAAAAGCTACGTGGAACATTCTGTCAAGGCTTCTCTCAAATGCAGGAACTGAATAAATAAACTGGAAAAGAGTGAAAAGGAAACGGTGATTCAGGGAGAAGCTTGTTCATCAGTGAGTGATTAAGTGATTATATCAGTTACAAAAACATAACTAATATAACATGTATATTAGTTATTTCCACTTGATTAACTACTATATAAAATGCCACCATGTTATGATTGTCTTAGTACTTATTTTAGTTTTGATTTATACATTTATCCTTTGACAGTTTTTTATTGAAACATAGCTAACAGAAGGGGCTTCTTAACTTTGGAACATAATTGCTTTTTTGTTTTGTTTTTTATAACAAAACTGGAAAATTGCATTTTCAAATAGTAAGAAGAAACTAGATGACAGTATTATTTAAGTGGGTAGTTCTATTAATAAATTATGGAACTTATTACTCTCCTTTAGTTAAATAACATGTATAAAACATGTCAGCTGGAGCCAAAACCAGTTTTCTCAACGTTCTTGTGTTTACACAGTTTTATTATTCCACCGTTTCAACAAAAATGTAACTTCGACAACTAATTTAAATTTTTGTAGCTGAATGCATTTTCTGTTTATTTGCATTCACCACCAATTTAGCATTTCAAATATTACTTTCTTGAAAACGTGATAGTAGTTTTGTTAAAGCACTAATGGATCACTGTGTGGAACATGGTGGCTGGCTGCCCAGTGGGTCCAACAGCAGAACTTGGTAGGCGTGAAAACTGTATTCTGTTCATAATGATTCATGATGCTGCATCTACTAACTAGATGCTCTAATTGTAATGGTGGACTGTCTTAACAGGTGATCCAGTTTTAATTATCAGCAATTTATCTTACTGTAGAATACGCTTTGATCAGATTAAATTAGATAGATTTATTAGCATTGCATGTATAAACCTGCACAATAAATAGTTGCAAAAAAATGTAGGTTTAAAATAATTAAACTTTTTAAATATTAATAAAGTACACAGTGTGTTGAGTCTGTGCAGTTGTTAGTTGTGACATTCACAGTCGTCTTTAGGGACCCCCGTGTTTCCCACTGTTTCTTTCACCATATTTTCAGGTGTTTCCTCCTCTTATGTCTGCTGGAGGCCCAGCTGATGTCATTTCACATCTTTCCCCCCATTTTTCCTGCCGTTATGGGTCTTCATGTCTTTCTTCATCACATTTTTAGGTGGAAAAAAAAATTTAACTGCACCAGCTGTCCCATGAGACTGGATTAAAAAGAAGAGCACAGCTAACTGTAGTCAGGAGATTTTGCCTAAGGGAATTGTAATAAAGCCGTCTGAGGAATCGTTTTAGCCAAACGTTTTAGCTAGCTAGATTACATGAATATTAAACCACCAAGACTATACTGCAAAATCAGTCAACAAACGCTTGCATTACTCTGAGGGTCTTGCAGCTAACATGAATGCATGAATTCAGTCTCATATTTCAAATTATACAACAATCCTTCCAAACTGTTCATGTTAGCCATCTACAAGTAGCTATACTGTTATGCTGAACCACTAGCATCATTTACTTATATACAATTATGTTAGCTTTGATTAAACCATGCCAGCAGCAGCTAACAAAGTTAGTAATCAGGTGTCTCACACACACAGAACAACAGAAACATATATCCTATAATTTTGGTTATTTATAGAGTTTTTGGCAGCTAAGTGCTCCACTGTGTTCTCCGTCTTGTAGCTAACTCTGTTTCTCTGATGTTTTGTTCTAGGCAGGTTGTAAGGTGTCAGTTCAGGGAAGAGAACGAAAGGCTGAGAGCAGCGACTGGAAGTGGGTGTGAACAAAAGTGTTCTCATAAAACTAAAAGCTGGCTGTTGTTAAAACTGCAAAAGCAGCCTCGTCGTTCTGTCAGAGGACTACAAGAAATGGTTTAGCATTGGTAATCTTATAAAAGAGCATAAACTCCCAAAACAAGGGAGTCAAACAAATCAAACAAAAAGAGAGAAAGGTAAAAATATTACACAAAGAATCTCGAGAAGGCACCAAAACACTTCCCACAAACAAGGACAGAAAACATTGTGAGTGTTGTAGTGAAGCAGAATATTTTTTCACTTGTACTTCGATGTACTGGATGTGCAGTTGAAACCAGAAGTTTACTTACACTGAATTTAAAGACACGTCCACCCTTTTTGGCTCTGAATGAAGTTAATCGGACAAAACCATTCTTCTTTGAGGTCCTTCCACAAGCTTCTCTCGATACACAAATTTTAGAAAAATTCTTACTTGCTCTTCCTGACAGACCTGGTGGAACTGAGTCGGCTTTGTCGGCCACTTCGCTCGCAGGCGCCTCTTGAGATCGGTCCACAGTTCTCTATCGGGTTGACACCAAAGGGTTAGCGTTTAATATTTCCACACAATGTTCTTTCCTCATGATGCCATCCGTTTTATTGAGTGCACCGGTTCCTCCGGCAGCAAAACAGCCTCACAACATGATGCTGCAGCGTCCATACTTTAAGCTGGGATGGTGTTACCAGACTTAAAAACACACCGCTTATTCCTCTAAATCTAATGATTGTGACTATGACCGGACAAGTCCACTTTAGTTTCATTCGACCAGAGTCTAGGTCTACAAAAACGAAATGGAGATGACTGATTATTTCTGCCATTATTGTGCCCTTTCGCAAATAGAGATCATTTTGATAGTTCTGCCTGACCTGAAACAAAAGTTTGGTTTGATTTAACTTCAGACTCTAAGAAAGAAAAAAAAAGTGCACGTGTGTATTAATTTGGTTAATTTAATGTTCTGGTTTCAACTGTGTATTTCATTCCAGAGTATGATCTCACAAATCTCCCACAAATCCAGCTGTCTCACAAGGTGACTAATCATTAAATCCTCACAAGCTTAACCAACTTCACAGCTTTAGTGCTCAAAGGGGGTATGATGGATTTTCCAAGAACACAGTGACATTTTATAGCCAAGTAAGTCTGTTACCTTCGTTTTTTGTAAGAATGCTTTCAACATCAAACATGCGATGTGACGTGGATGTACCAGCACCTGCCAAAATGCTCTCAAAAAAACAACCAATTTTGCAAGGTGGGAAGAAGATTCTTGCTTCACATCAGGCCCAAAGTTTCTTTGATGAATAGGTAACGGAAAGCTTTAGTGTTGGACAATCCATTCCCACACCCATGTGGCACCGACAAAAAACTTTCCTGTCTGTCAACACTCACAAGGTTCCTTTTGAGTGCGAGTCCAATTCGCTATCAGAGAGAACATTAAATGTCTCTGCTTGTCTTTTTTTTAAATAATAAAAAAGCTACAGGTCCCAGATAGTGCAGCAAAATACTCTTTCTGCACTAAAAATTCAACAGACAAATGTCTTAGTTTCTTTATTTTTTTGTATGTATGAGTCATTGCTTTGCATTAATGTTCTGCAATTCAAAATTCAGCCTGTTTTTTCAAAAGTTTCTCGAGTCTTTCGTCTGTTTTGTTGTATTTTATGTTGTAATAGATTTATTTATTTTTACTCCTAAGATATGTGGTTTGACCTCAGTTTTCAGTTTTTCTTCTCTTGTTCAACTGCATTAAAGCACTCTGAATAAACATTCACTGGATCGCACAGTGCATCAATAAAGCGGTGGGTGTGTGTGGGATTGCTTCCAAATACTGCGGGAGTGACAAAAACAAAAGGCAGAAACGGGATTATTTTGAGAAATTTAGCTGAAACGGGTGGAAGCTAGACTGAGCTCTACTTCATAAATCTCAAAGATGGTTTGTAAAACTTCCCATTCAGTGTAGATTTATCAGTTTCAGGTTTTGATATCTAAGCAGAGGTGCAAAAGTACCGTTCACATTTGTTAAAAACTGGGATAAAATGCCAACAGGAAGCTGTAAAACAAATGTGACCTTTAGCTGTTAGCAAAGTTAGCATTTCTGACACATTTTTAACCACGACCACATTACTTTTTGGATGTTCCAGCCTGTGAAAACGTTACATTTACTTTTATTGCATTCATTTTTATTGGACAAAGTAATCAAGTAAAGACAGTCCTGATCCAGTGCTGACCTTCCCCATGCGTCACTGAGGGCTGGGTGATGTTTAACTTATGAAGTTGCTAGCAGGAACATCATATGACAAAAGCAATAGAGATATAGAAAGAGAGAGAGAGAGGACTGTGAGACACCTGAGGCAGATATGAAGCGAAAAAAGCCAAGGCAATACCTCTCAAACCACATTTAAACATTCATGCAGCTACTTTCCTCTGTCGAGTTTGTGCCTTAGCGCCAGTTGTTGGGCGGTAAGCCAGCCGTGTGCCTCTCAAGGTAAGGGAGTGAATAGAGAAGTACAAGCTTTGGCTGACGCTGAGGAGGGACTGAGTCTACCTGCTGACCTTACACCAGCTTTACCTCAGCAGGAGAGGACTGTTTCATAAATGGATTATTCCACTCAGTCACCTTTGACCTGCAGCAGCTTCAGTAGGCTGCCCATCACTTACAGAGGAGCTGAACGAGTTGGAGAGGGGGGATAAGAAAGGAGGTGGTTTCCACCTGTGGTAGGATATTAAACCCTCTGTGGTGAGATGGGGAGGAAAAGGAGGATTGACAACACAGCTGTCAGAAACTGCAGCTGCTACCATGTGCGCTGGTGACTCAGTAGATCGGAGTAATATGAAAGGGACTGAAATGACCTTGTTTCTCAACCACAAGGCACAGGTGTTCAACATTTTCTCTGCTGACAATTATAATCTGCCAAAAGTGGCAGTGAAGCCCCATGAAAAGCCAGCGAATGCCAAATACCCAGCGTTCCACCCACAAAAGACTATATTTGGAGCTGAAAATGAGATGAAAAGGACCTTCCAGGTCTTTATTGAAAGGGACAAGGGATGGCAGAGTCATATCTGAGAGCATCATTACGGGGAGCACATCTGTTAGATGACTCACTGAATCCGGAGAATCACAACTGCAATTTAATATCGCAAGTAAGTACGGCTGCGAGGAGAGCGCAGCAAACATAATTCTCTTTTAACGTCCCTTTATTCAATACATCTATATTCAGGTTTAATTTATACGGCACTAAATCACAAAAAATGTAATCGCAGAACTCCTATATTAAATACACAGAAAGGTCAGTGAAACTCAAGACTCTCCCCTGAATCTGAGACAAACATACCAATGAAATCCATCATGTTAGGCTACAATAAGACGACAGAGCCTCAATGTTATTCCATTGCTATTTAAACTATTTTAAGTAAAAGACAATCACAAGATAGTCTGCACATATTAAGTGGTAGGAAAAATATTGTAAAAGAAAAAAAAAAAGCTGATGATTTGGCAATGTATATTTATCCAGCCGCCTCTACTCTGCAGCCCCTAATTAAATTCCAGTGCCATAAATTCCCTTCAAATGTCACCAAGTTAGTAAACAGAGTTCACTTGGGTTCATCTTAATCTCACTGTGAATGCAACTGTTCTGACAAGGTCTCAGGGATTTGTTAGAAAATCCTGAGGAACTGATGGCACCATGCAGACCAAGGAACACACCAGGCAAACACAAAGTGAAGACGATGGAGGTTGTGCTACTGTACGACCTATCACCTAGCACTGTTTAAGCCATCAGTTGAAGATGGAAAGAGTGTGTGGTAACCTTCCAAGACATGCCCAAACTGTCTACCTACACTGCAGTCAAGAAGAGCAAAAGTTACACAAGCTGCTAAAAAAAAAAACCCTTGGAAATTCTGGAGGAGCTGCAGAGATCCAAAGTTCAGGTGGGAGAATCGATTAGTTGTGCATTCCACAAATCTGGCCTTTGCAGAGCAGTGATAAGATGATGTCCCTTGTTGAAGGAAATATACAAGTCCCATTCACAGTTTGCCATGTTGGGGACGAGTAATCATCTGGCCTTAAGGTGATCATGATGTAGGAAGATTGTATTCAGTAGCAAGACTTAGAAATTGATGTTCATGGATGTCCCTCACATCAAGACTGAGTCTGAGCTACTTACAAAGAAGAATAGGCAAAATGTTCAGTCACTAAGCTGTGTCAACGCTTCAACTCAGGGGCTGAATGCAAATTCTTGCCACACTTTTCAGATTTTTATTGACAAAACATTTGAGAACAATGCATAATTCTCCATCCACATAACAGCTATGCACAACTTTTTTGTCAGTCAATAACAAAAAGTCCAAATAACATACCTGGAGGCTTGTGGTTGTAACATGACAAAATGTAGATATGTTCAACAGACATGAACACTTAGGTTTGGCACCATATGCATGCACTGAATGATGATACAAGCATTTTTGTTGTCCTGAATAATTCCCCCTCCTAAGGCCCATACCTGTAGCTTTGGCTGTGACTGACAGCTGATGCTTTGGATGACGGCGAGCCAGTGAGCTGTAACAAGTCACTCCAGCAAAACACAATCTCCTACAAGTCTCAAAGGAAAGCTCTGTGAGGGAGGCATCCAATTCTGCCTTCCTTTCAGCTATCATCCGCCAGGCATGCAGGAATGAAAGAAGCAGGATTGAGAGGAGGGTGAAGCAATAGAAATTGAGACATATGGTGGAACGATGGCGGGGCGCAAGGAGATAGCAGGCGAGGAGGAATACATGAGGTATTGTAAAGCAGAAGGCGGAAAGATAGAGAAAGGCCACGAGAGAAAGGGGGATTTTCTTCTCTTCACTTCTCTCCATTCTGTTTCCCTCTGGCAATATGGTGCTTATTTACTGCGGCCTCTCCTCTCCCAGTGGAATGGGAGGGAAATGGGCTCTTAACTGGGTTTCCATACATCACCCGCTGACACTGATGCTTGTAGTTTTGGAATGCCCGCATCTGATGTTTCTTTTTAAAATCAATTATTTACAGAGTATCCTTGAGTTCCTGCAGTTTATCTCGGCTAATTGCAGTACATCACCTTGGTTGTATTTCAAATTCTTTATGGGAGAAATGCTGTGCATGTTTTTTGCACAGAGCTGTAAAATTGTAGGCAAAGGGCAGCTAAACAATTTAGCTTTTATGCCTTGAAGCTATTCAAAACATTTAAAAGATCAACTCTCCAGTTCTTGGTTCAATTTAGTAAGTCTTAAAGATAAGATTTTGAATTTTGGAGAGAAATTCTGTGAAAAGGAAAAGAGAAGTTCATAACTTAGCTGCAGTACAGAAGTATTATACAATATTTGTTTGACAGGAACCAGATAGTTGGTCATGGATCCCAAAGTTAATGGTTCATCCAAGAGGGGTCAAGACCAAAACAGACTTCTACTTAAGAAAATTTATCTTTAAGTTTGTCTTACAGTTTTCTGTGTTGCCATATATGCTAATATTTCTAGAAAAACAACTGTTGTGTGTGTCTAAAATTGGGGGAATAAAAATTATTTGGTGGAACATAAAGTCCTGTGATATCTTTGAAGAGGATGCTTTTGATGTGCTCTTGTAAAAGTTTGTGTATACAAGTCATCACATAAATCAGACATTTTTGATGTTGCGGTTGTTTTATTATCAGCAAAGTCTTCTTTGGTCTTGGCTCTTCTCAGACTTTGTTGCAAGCCACCAGGGACCGACTAATCTGGATTTATACTAAAGGAGTTTTCACACCAGGATAGCACATTGGTTCCATGGGTGGGGACATACTAGAAATCTTCACAAATTCAGTTGGTGTGATTCACTTTTGCAATATTCTTTTAGAGGGGTATATTGTGTGAAATGAGCCCTGACGAAGCGGGAATAAAGGAGAAAGAAAATCCATCCTCTTTAGCTTGCTTGTTCACAATTGAGCGAGACCAATGTGCAGCTTTGGTGTTTCAGTTCTGACCTTGGTGTTGGAGCCTAATTGCTTTTTCACAAGAAACAGGCAGCAGATGAGGCAGCGAGCCACCCAGCATGTTGCTTCGTACATGTAGCTGGTTCACTGCCACTCTTTGGTTTGCTCAGCGGTCTGTTATCAGCCGAACAAGTTAAGTTTGGTTTGTCTGCACCAGAGTTTGGATGAGTTTTATGCCTGGCTACGCAGAGGAGTCATTGGTCGGTTTAAAGCAGACCATCGGGTGTGAAACAAAAACGAATGAAGGAATCGAGAGTTATCTTTTACAGGTAAGATTTTAACTGCCTGTCATGGTTTACCAGAACCATACTTGAGAAATCCTGAACTATTTCTTTAATGTGAATTAAATTCAATGGACTGATTTATTTGAAATATAATGATGGTAATTCAAACCCTTCAGGTTGCACTACTTTCTGATACCTGCAGTAAGAATTATATTAGGAATATGACAATCAAGTATTAGTAACATAAGCCTATTGCAACCGCACAAAAAATGCAGTTATCAGGAAAAAATTACATTTCCTTTGTCCAAGCAAAGCTTGAATCCAATCATGTTATGTCACATGGTAATCATCTTCGACTATTGAGCTCTACCCAGCATGCTAACCCTTTTATGAGTCCTAATTATCTCCTTGTACACACTGATGAGACCAATGAAGAAGGTTTTTCCATTTTAAAGCAATGCTTGGTGCACCTGTGGCCCATCAGGCAGATTAGGATGTCATTGAACGTGGAAATATGTTTAATTTCTCCTCAGCTCGCCTGCCTCTCCCCCAGAGCATTTGCAATCTGATTGCTTTTACATGAAGCT